GTGGTCGGGGGGGGGGGGGGGGGGCTGCGCACTCACCCGGGGCTTGCTGCCGCCGATGGCCCCGGGACGGATGGAGCCCGTCTCCTGGTACCGGCAGAGGATCTTGGAGACGCAGCCGTGGGAGACCCGCAGCTGCCTGGAGATCACGCAGGGCCGGATGCCGTGGTGGGCCATCTCCACGATCTTGTGGCGGATGTGGTTGGGCAGGGGCCGGCCATTGATGAACACCCCGCCGAGCTGGTTCACCCGGCCCTGGCCCAGGGGGGTGGACACTGGGGAGCAGAAACCCGCGTTAGAGGCTGCCCCGGCCCCCTCTTGCACCCCTCCGCCTTCAGCTGGTCCCCGGCCCCTTTGCCCCCTTTGCCCCGTGGCTCTGGGCCCGCAGGACCAGGCAGGCAACTTTTCTCGGGGAAAAAAGAGAGGCTGTCCCTCCTCTCCGCCTCCCCAGGGGAAGGGCTGGGGAAGCCCGCTTTGCGAGGCAGGGCACCCGGCGGGGGCCAAGGGCCGGCATGAAACCTCGCCCCCACATCGGGCCCCGTTTGAACGCGGGGGCCACAGGCGGGGTATTGCAGCAGCCCACTGGCATGGCCAATGCGGCGGGGGGCGGGTGGTTGGGGGGGACGCCTTCAGCAAGGGCAGGAGCCCGCCGCTGCTCACCCCTTGCCCCCGCGTCCCTTGCGGGGCTCTGGAGGCGAGCGGCTAATCCCCCCTCCCGGCGCCCCCCGTTTGTGTGACACCGCGCAGATGAACACGGTCTCCCAGGCGCGGGGAGGGGCAGAGGAGAGCGGGGAACTCAGCTGCCTCATTTGCCGGGCGCTTGGCGGGGGCGCGGGGCTGCTCTTCGCCGCGCACGGAGAAGCGGACGCCGGCAGCCGCCGCCCGATTTACCGAGAATCATGCACCACTAATTCAAAGTCACTTGCCCGCCGCTCCTGGGACGCATCATTAGCGACGGGGAGCGCTCGAGTGGCCCATTTCGCATTCAAGAGGTGCTAGCACCCCCGGCAGCCCCCGCTCTTCATTATTCCCAGTCATGTTGTGCAAATATTGTTGTAAGCCTTTGATCCTTCCCCTGCCCGGCTGCTTTACTTCATTTGCTACAGAAAAGCACTTCAGCAAATCCCCCTAGCTTGTGTGTTTTGCAGCCTGCGTGGTTTTCCCCCACTTGATCACGGCCGGCATGAACTGCTTTGCCGTCGTGCGGGGGGCACGCGGGGTCCCGCCGGCCCCGGCGGGCCGGGCTGGGCAGGGAGGGAGGCGGTGTGTCCGCGCACACGCGGGGGAGGCTCGGGCAGGGCTGCCAGCTCCGGGGGGCTTCTCAGCAGCTCCAGAAACGCCCCCCCCGGCACCTGGGGCTCGGCTCATGGCGACCCTCTCCCCCCAGCACCCCCTGCCCCGGCCCAGTCAGCCCCGCTCGCTCTTCTCGCCCGCCTGCAAAGTTTGGGGGTTTTCCCCCATGGGGCCCGGGAGGAGAAGAGCTGGGGAGTCCTTTCCTCCTGGGGAGAGGGGCAAGTCACCTCATCTATTTACGTATTGGGGGGGGTGTATTATATTATACTAGGTATATACTATACCTAGGAACTAGATATAGCTCGCATACAGAGTAGATACCCAGAGAGCCATAAATATATACGTTATATAAATCTCTCTCTATATTATAGATTATACATTTACACACACAGCTAATATATCCCATATAATGTAGAATATACATTACGCACGAAGTATAATGCATACCACATGCTGCACAGCCTATCATAGATCATACAGACTGTATAATAACGACATCCAATAATACCTGTTATTATTATTTACAATCTATTATATCATATCATACATACACGCACGGATACACTCGCGCATACGCGTCCACACACACACGCCTATCAAGGGCGAAAGCGAAGTTGCGCGCTCGGCTCCCGCAAGCCCCGGCCGCACGACTCGGGGAGCGGGGCAGCCCCGGGCCCGCGGTGCCCGCACCACCACCCCGGGGAGGGCAGGTTGCAAACGCGGCGGAGGCCACCCGGCCCGGGCCGGGCAGGGCCGGGGGGGCGCGCACACCTACCTTCCAGAGGGAAGCCGGTGCGGGGGTAATTTTGCCCCGGCGCAGGGCGCATCATTCGGGGCACCGTCCCTGGCAGCGCTGCCATGCTCGCCGCAGGCGGGGACCGGCGAGAGAGGCAAGCAGGCACCACCAAAAGTGAAAAAAAAAAAAAAA